TATGGAACAACCCAGACTGTCTTCAAAACAAAAAACCACTGAATCTCACCACCTGGAAGGACAAAGGTATCACCCAGCTTCAACACATAATTCAAAACAAAACCTTCATCCCCTTCAAAGAAATAACTCAAAAGTACAATATCAACAATAAATCTCACTTCCAATATCTCCAGATCCAATCTATCATAACACATAAATTTAACCTCAAACAAGACTACATCGAAAATTCAACACTAACAGACACAATACTTAAACTCTCAACACCCACTAAAACTCTATCTGAACTATACAAACTCATAAACATTGACCATACAATATCTCTCCCCACAGCAAAATGGGAAAAAGATTTATCAACAACAATAGACCATGACACCTGGAACATAATCTGCAACAATACCTGTAATGAAGATAATAAAACTAAACTCAGTTGGGACACTAGTCTGTTGCTTTCCACTGGATTCACTCAGGTGTGTCGGCCAGAACACCACTTCAGGCCTTATTCCAGAATATGAATAACAAGAGGGCAGATTTGGTTGAATGGCTGTTTACTTCTTCCTCATAGTGAAACAAAATACAGGCATCTCAGTGGCCATTCAATATGACAGAGTATTGGGTCTTGTTGTGGTTTTCTATAAGAAAAAGAATAGCAGAATATATACTTAAGGAACACATCTGAATGCTTCATCTTACCTCTATAATAACATACAAAACACTACACAGTAATGTAATAGGTTATAATATGTAAATAAATAAAGGTAAGCTACATGTCTCTTTAACCTAAAGTATTAAGCACAGAAAGGCTATCGTAGGCTTAACAGTCATACAATCATTTCCCTATAAAAATACTACGATGCTTTTATTGTGAAGCACGGACATCAAACTTTCCTCCTCGTGCAGAGAGCAACACAGTTAGTAAGCATGTCGGGCCGTGACGTCGGCTAATTAGCATATCCAGAATACGCCGAACATCTAAGCTCTAAACTCTGGCTCCGCAGGAGTTAACAACTTTGCCTCAACATTAAAGAACACACAATGTCACATATAAGACTTCAGGAAAGTACTCACTCTTTTCATTCACGCACAACCAACTTATGAAGTGATTACTCTGCACACTGATGGCTCATCTGTCATCGACTGATGCACACTGCTCATTACTACATGATGTAATTCTCTAAAATGACCAGCAGGTGACACCTCTTCCCTATTGAGCACAATATCATCACATTAAACTGAACAGGAATCAAACACTATTGTAACATAAAGCAAAAACCTTAACATGTAACTTTGGGGCCTTTTCTACAATACCTTCTCAATGACAAATAAACCTAATCTCCAACTAATTCAGTATAAGATTAACCACAGAACCCATATCACACTTAAGAAAAAACATCAAATGGAACTTTCTGATACAAATAACTGCTCAGTATGCCCCCCTAACACCCTGGATGACTACATGCATGCAATCTGGCACTGCCCACCCATACAGCAATTCTGGAAACAAATCACAACTAAACTCTCTTTAATACTGAACTGCCGGGTTCCACTCTCCCCTTCACTATGCATCCTAGGAAACACTCTTTCAATCACACTTCCCAACAACCAAAAAAACACAATTCTCATTGGGCTCACTGTCGCCAAGAAAGCAATCCTCCTCAACTGGAAAAGCAGAAAAAACACACAGAAAACACGTTTGTCTCTGTCTATGCTGTGCATTGTATCGTCGTGTCTCCCCTGTCTCCTACATACTTTTGCTCTTGTCATGTCCCTCACTCGTCTTGTATTGTTCTGCATCACCTAATAAAAAAAAAGAAAAATAAATTTGTTGCCAACACTTTTATTAATCGATTTTTATCGCTTCGTTGTTGCAGCTCTAGACTCTTTCAATCAAAAGAGAACTCCACAAGGTTTATTTACAGAACAATATACCACTGTTTTCTGTAAATGTATGATTATGACCTCGTGAGGGAGAAAAGATGTGGAAAAAGTCACGCAGCCAGCCTGGTCTGTGTCGCCGTCTTTCCCAGCACAGCGTGCACTCAGCTTTCAATACACGGGGAATGGGGATGTGTTTTTAATCACTCCAGGTCGCAGTGATAGGGGCTGCTGCCCCGCTGTAATGTATTTTATACGGGTATATTGGTCGCACCGGTGTATAAGACGCAACTTTTAAGATGAAAAAATAGGTATTAATAGTGCGTCTTATACACCGGATTTTACGGTATATCAAATGTGTTTTTCCCTCTAAATTAATTTTGTTTTTGCAACAAACTACTTTAATCTGTTCAATTTCTCCACACACGCGCACAAACACAAACACCAGGAGTACGCCTCACGTTTTGAAAAGTTCCTCTTGATATTCTGTTATTTATAGGAGTTCAGAATCAGCAGCAAGCAGCTGTATATTAACATTTTTAAAACGAAGCCATGAGAAGCTTCAGTTTTGATTAGTGCAAGATGCATTTACAAGAGGAGTGAGGACAGAGGACCTTCTCTCTCTTTCTCTGAAGCTGCACGGAGCCATGAACGCTCCTCTCTCTCTCTCTCTCTCTCTCTCTCTCTCTCCGTCTCACACACACACGGGCGGCTGTGTCTCTGTTGGTAGACTCGTCACCTCTCAACCGAAAGGTCGAGGGTTCGATCCCCAGCTGAGCAACATGTCCGATGTGTCCTTGGGCAAGACACTTAACCCCGCATTGCTCCCACTGCTTCGGTGGCGGTGTATGACTGGATTAGTGTTGTACTTACTCTCTTTGGATAAAAGCGTCTGCTAAGTGAATTATAACACACACATACACACACACACACACACACACACACACACACACACACACATATACAGGGATCACAGTTCTACGATGGATTTCCATCAATTTCAGAATTGTAATATTTTTAGTCAGTGTCAGACAAAAGAAGTCGAGCAGAATGTGGGTTAGTGACAAACGTGCAAACTGCTGTTTTTAATGTCAGTCATTTATCTGAATCCTGTAACACAAGTGTAGTTTTGTGTCTGTGTGGCATTTCGATGTAGGCTACAGTCAGAACTTTTATCTGCTACGTGAAGTCGGCTCGGTGTATAGGAGGCTTTTATTGTGGTAGTGAACATCAGCGTGGACTGCCCGTCATGTCCAGACTTTTTTTTTAGTCTTCGGTGCGCAATTTATTTACCAGACCAAAGAAAAGAATACCAGGGAAATAACAATCCATAACATGACGGAGTTTACCGTTAAAGTTTTATTACGTACAGGCAGAGCAGACAGTCACCGAGTGCTCCGCTAACGGACACACTCCGTTAGGAACGCACGTCACGACAACACGTGATACAACACATTACCCACACAGAGCACCACGACATGAATCACCTTTAAACTGGACCGTGTGATGACACAATTCTTACATCTTATATTAGCTTAACAAGCTAGCACTAGTTTACTTTTAATGACTGAGTGGGTGAAAGTTATTAAGTACAGTACTGCATAAGTTCTGTCCAATGTAAACAAAAAGAAGCCTTCTTGTACTTAATAAAAATATACTTCTTACTCCACTGAATTTATAGAAAATCTTAAATTTGTTTGCTAGTTACTTCTCAGATTCAGAATTATTATGCAAAATAGGATGAATACACTATTTGTCTAAATATCTTTATTATATGCCCTGTGAATTCACAAGGTATCCAGATACAGGTATGTAAATAGGATTAGATCCAACTGTAGCAATGACAACAAGATGAGGAACACATTAATGCATTAAAATATATATTTAAATAATATTCTGTAAGGTAAATTTTTGCAAAGTAACTATTATTCATTTGTTACTCCAGACTAAAGTCTGATATGTTTGTACTCTAACTTCTGTAACTTGTTTGAGGGTATTTCCGTGTTGTTACTACTTTAGACTGCTTAAGGTTAAGAACAGAGTCGGCTTCTTATTTAGTATCAAAACAATCAGAATCAGATTTATTGTCCAGGTATGCTTACACACAAGGAATTTAACTTTGGTGAACTGTGCTCTCTTATGTACAGGTACAACATTAAATATCAACAATAAACATAATAAGAAAAGACTAATATTTACATGACTAAATATGAAACAGTGCAGTGGTGAATAGTGCAAAAGATGCTGAAGTAACATGATAAGTAAAATGCAGTTATGTGACAGATGGGTCAATTAAGATGTCAATTACAGTATTTACATAAATAAGTGCGTGTATTGATCATTTAAATTAAAGAATATACATATATGTATATATATATATGTATATATATATATATATATATATATATATATATATATATATATATATATATATTTCACATTGACGGTTGGTTCAGAGTCATTTCACCGCGACAGGTCTGACACTCTGTGACGTTTAGCGTTCATCAGAGTGACAGCTGGGGAAGAAACTGTTCTTATGACGGGTCCTCATGTTTCATGATCTCATCTCTAAATGATCCAAAAAGCCTCATTTGAATGTTAGAATAGATTTTTCCTCTGGGGAGAATCCCCAGACCCCCAAACTTCATTTACTTTCAGAGTTTCACCTCTTTAAAGTTTTGTAAAGAACACCTGCTGCACCTGTTAATTTATATAGACATAAAATTCACCTGGATGTAGGTCACATTTGTTAAAAAGAAGCACACACACACACACACACACACACACACAACACACACACAGAGAGACACACACACACACATACACAGAGAGACACACACACACACACACACACACACACACACACAGAGACACACAGAGACACACACACACACAACACACACACAGTCACACACAGACACACACACACACACACTCACTCTCACACACACACAGTGTCACACACACACACACACACGCAGAGACATACACACACACACTCACACTAACACACACACACACACACACACACACACACTGTGGTAGAACTGGGCCTGCAGAAAATCAGCAGAAAGAGAAAACCTCCGAATCTTGGGACGAGAGTAAATAAAAGAGACTTTCAGAAACTGTTGAGTTGCTAAGTCACCCAGTTTATTACATGCAGCATGGAGAGAAGTTCAGCTATGCGTACAGGATACACAAAGTAAGTTCTCTGCCCGCTCTTGGGGCGTACAATCTTTATATACTTGAGCATATAGTGTTATCGAAACTTACAGAGGAGGATCAAAGAAACAGGTGCAGCTTTATCTGTGTCAGCACCTTGTGGTCAGTGTATAAATATGTGAATGTAGCAGTAACTTGTCCTTGAGAGTTTAAAAAATAGTCCTTATAAGGAGCTGTTGTTGAGTCTGTGTACGTGAGATAAAACACCTGTGGTGAGGTGAGTATCGTGCAAGGTTCGTGTGTTGCAGTGGTCATATAAGGACACGGTGCATGTATACGTGATATGTGTAATGCTATGTGTAATGCATTGGATCAGTTAATGAGCAAACATAAAAGTATAAAGAATATAAGATTCCACATTCCCCCCTTTTGTTCTTTAGAACAAACTACAATAAATCAATACAATAAAAAACTCCTTGGTCTAAAAGGGTAGCGATGACAGGCTTAATGCCTTCCAGAGAGGCCTGTGAGAGGGGGTACTGCTGTTTTCTGGGAGCAGGACCTGATTTTACAGGAATTGACACAGGAGGATGAGACAACATTAGGCCACACTCATTAGAGTACTGAGACCACAATGTGTCTGGGACTCCCGCTGTGGCAGGGGACTGAGGAGGAACAGAAACTGAGAACAGAGAAAGAGGGTGAGACATGTCAGTGGTCTTAAAAGGTGAAATGGTGCATACAGGATCTTCGTCATCAGCTAACCATGAGTCATCTACTGTCACTGTCCATGCCACGCCCTCATAGTGGGAGTACACCATTCCTTGGTACAAATGTGAGATGGTTGGAGTCAGAGTCTGTAAGGTCTTTGCTATGGGACCTAAGTCTTTAGGCTCGTAACCTTCACAGGTGTAGAGAGTCAGGTGTGGGGCGGAGTCAGGTTGCTGGAACAAGCTGGAGGCTACTGGGCCCAATTGATGTGTCAATAGGGCACCCCCCTGCTTACACAACAAAATGGTGCACGCAAAAACACTACAGGCCTGTCCTAAGAAGGGAGAAAAATGATGGAAATACTCAAGGTCTCGTCCTGTAGGGTCAACGTGCAAAGTCCAGTGCATGCGGTGTGGAGGGACACAAGCTGAGGAAACATCAGGGAGGTCTGGGCTGTCTGAGAGAAACTCCTGCAATAGATCAAATGTAAAAGGCACCATGCTTCTTATAATAATATCTGACTGAAAGTCATTATACATTAGGCTGTAGAAAAGTCCAGGCTGGTTAACTGTCATGGACATCTGGGAAGTTGGAGGGAGCTGTAATTCAACAGAATTAGCATGGCATACCAAAGTGGCTTTTAACTTACCTAATAAATCTCTTCCCATTAAACTTACTGGTGAGTTGTCGCCCATAAGTAGAAAAGAGTGCTCCAGATTTTGACCCTGAAAAGACACTAGAGCAGGTTGTGAGACATAATTTTGTTGCGTAATTCCAGCCACTCCTATGGTACTTAGGGTTTCTGTGGAGGGTGCAACATTAGCAGCAGCTGCATCAGAGGGAGTCAGGGTAGAAACAGTAGCCCCAGTGTCTACTAGCATCTCAGTTGAGGTCCTGTTTATTTCCATCACTGCCTTCGGATCTGGAGAAACAGAAAGAGGAGCTAATAAAAGGGGAATTAGTGTTTGTGTAAGTGTGGGTGGCTTACTTCCCTGTGAGCCTTGGTGTGGAGCCTCGCTGGCCTATTGTGGTGCAGGAATGGTCCACCAGGGGGACCCATTTGCTGTCTATTCATGCCTCTACCTCCGCCCCCTCCTCTAGGAAGAGCTCCTCTCGACTGTGAAAGGGGTTGGTTCCTTGAGCTGCTGGAAAGGGGTGATAAACTGGCCACTGTGTGGGAGCTGGAGATAAAAACTGTGTCTGTGGGAGAGAGGAGGGTTGGGTAGGGGCAGCCTGCTGAGGCTGTTGCACAATCATTTGTTTTACAGCACCAGAATATTGTTTGCGTTTGTCTTTCTTTCCCTTATTTCTGTGTCTTATTTTATTTTTGTTTTTACAATCGGTGTCAGACTCTGAGCTAGAACTATCAGAGGATTCAGCATTTTGTCGATTTCTTTCCAAGTGTTTGGCTATAGCTACACACTGTTCTAGAGTTTTTACCTCCCACGCGAGGTCTTGTTTTATCACTTCTCTGGAATGTCTTTCTAATCCGTCAACGAATGCGTGCGGAAGAAGCGGGGCGAACTGCTCTGAGGTTAAGCCTGAGTATTTCTTAAATGTGTTTTGCAACCTAGTCACAAAATCTTCCACCTGTTCTCTTTTCTTTTATGTAGTCCTGACAGTTTACCCCAATCTGGGTTGACTTTGAATTTAGTCTGTAAATCCTTCATTATTTCTTCCAACATAAGTTCGCCCTTTCTTCTGTCTGATCTTTTGCAGCTGCGCTCTGTGCATCAAGATATATTTTCCATCTATCCTCGAGCTTAGGCCAACGCGCCATACAAAAGTTGTACCAGTCACCCTGACAGGGATGGAAACATCCAGACAGTCTCTTTAGATATGTTATAGTCTGAGCCATTTTTATTTTATTTATTTATTATTATTTTTTATTATTATTATTATTATTTTTTATTATTATTATTTTTTATTTTTATTTTTTTTTATTTATTTTTTTATTTTTTTGTTCCAACGTTTGAAAATTTTAAGCCAATCTATGTCAGGGTACCCTGTTTTCATTTGCATTAAGATTGATCTATCCGGAGTATTACCTTCGCCATCAGGCTTTAGTTTACTGGTTGATTTTCCCATTGTTCCTTTTATTTGTTTGTTTTATTTTATCACTTTAGCATAGCCTTTTTACTTTATCCTTGTTTTTGCAATTCTTTGCTTAATTTCTGTTTTCACTGTACTCCCTCAGACGTCTCTGAGGTTTCCCATGAAACCCAGAATTTTAGTTTAATATTCTGTTTTCACTGTACTCCCTCAGACGTCTCTGAGGTTTCCCATGAAACCCAGAATTTTTAGTTTCATAAATTCGTTCCCACTATTTTATACAAATTTAGGTACTTGATTTTATTAGTTCAATAAATTCGTTCCCACTATTTTATATAAATTTAGGTACTTGATTTTATTAGTTCAAAAAAATTCGTTCCCACTATTTTATATAAATTTAGGTACTTGATTTTATTCTTCAATAAATTCGTTCCCACTATTTTCTATAAATTTAGGTACTTGATTTTATTCTTCTTCTTTTATTTACCTGATTTTATTCTTCTTCTTTTATTTACCTTATTTTATTCTTCTTCTTTTATTTTTTTCACTATCGTCCGATGGTCAGAGTAGTTTCACACAGTTCTGGTTCTTTACCCAAAATTTATCAGGGATTCCGTTACCAAACCTAGAGCTCCCTTCTCACAACTCTATACTCTCCACCCTAAACTGTCAAACTTTAGAAAAGGTGTTTGACTTACCTATTCCTCAGTTGATTTGGGTGGAGAAGTTGTTTCGGAGGAAACTACCCGGTTGATGTTAGGAATCCCATCCTCGTCGCCATGTAATTGTGGTAGAACTGGGCCTGCAGAAAATCAGCAGAAAGAGGAAACCCTCCGAACCTTGGGACGAGAGCAAATAAAAGAGACTTTCAGAATCTGTTGAGTTGCTAAGTCACCCAGTTTATTACATGCAGCATGGAGAGAAGTTCAGCTATGCGTACAGGATACACAAAGTAAGTTCTCTGCCCGCTCTTGGGGCGTACAATCTTTTATAGTGTGATCAAAACTTACAGAGGAGGATCAAAGAAAAAGGTGCAGCTTTATCTGTGTCAGTACCTTGTGGTCAGTGTATAAATATGTGAATGTAGCAGTAACTTGTCCTTGAGAGTTTTAAAAAAATAGTCCTTATAAGGAGCTGTTGTTGAGTCTGTGTACGTGAGATAAAACTCCTGTGGTGAGGTGAGTATCGTGCAAGGTTCGTGTGTTGCAGTGGTCATATAAGGACACGGTGCATGTATACGTGATATGTGTAATGCTATGTGTAATGCATTGGATCAGTTAATGAGCAAACATAAAAGTATAAAGAATATAAGATTCCACAGCTGTAAAGGGGAAGGGGAGGTACAGGATTAACCAGGGGAACAGGGTCATGGACGGATCCTGCAACAGGACAAAACTATCGTGTTTCACGTTATTGGAGAGATCTGGGAGAGAAACAGGAGAGGTTCAAACAGGGAGCAGAGCAAGACAAAATAAACAGCTGCACTTGAGAAACAAGCCCAAAGACGCTTATAATAAGAGGACCTGGCAACGCTGATCCAAAGGTTTCATCTGTTTTTGTTGGAATAATCAGTTGACACTTGCTGCTGTACCAACATACTGTTGTGAAAAGACCTCCGGGCATCAATACGTCACATGAAGTGTCTCTTTTCCTCTGAATCAGCAGAGGTGTTACTGCACATCCCTGGTGGTTTTAACTAGGAATTTTAAAGGAATTTTAAAGGAAGTGTCAAAGGTGTGTGGTGGGAGGGTGAGTTACTGGAGGTGTCTGAGTTAGTTCCAGAGAAACATCTCCAACCCCTCTCCACTCACGTTCACAGGAAGGAGTTTAGTACAGCTGCGATAGAGCTCAACAGTATGATTACCAGCCATAATGTCAGAACCATCCAAGGTAGACTGAACACGAGCTACCTGAGTGTTAAACGATGCTTTACGCTTCTGTAGGAGACACGAGTTCGTCTGATATCAACCTCGCTTTAAGAAAAACTAGATTTATTCACGATATCAAAGAACTACACTACCCAGGACAATAGAGTGTCACAGAGACGTCTCTGATTGGTTGAGCTAGCTGTTACCATGGCAATGTTTCCCGCCCTCGGCACATTATGCAAACAGATAAGTTTTGCTAGCAGGCTAGCTAGTTCATTAGCTAACATGAAATGTAGTGATTAGCTTGTCATGCTGCAGTGAATGTAGTTTATTTATTCAACAACACAAACTAAACGATTAACAGTATAAACACGAGAACAACGACAAACGTTACATTCAAGAAGAAACGATCTCATTCGCAGTGGATTGTGGGATGGGTAGTTCGACTCCGGACAGAAAGTACGTACAGTCTTGTACCTTTGCCTTCTTCTTCTTCTTTTAATGCCGTTTTGGTGCTGAATTAAATGTACTGTAGTCACGAGTATTGAGGCAGCTGGCTGTCTTGGTTCCAGGCGCCAATCAGTTGATATAAAGATTTTATGAAAACTCAAGGGAGGATGTGAACGGGAAATTTACTAACATCCAAATAATCAGTGAGTATGTTCTTCTTCTTCTCTCTAGTTCTTGACTAAAACAGCTTTTATACACAAGGGGAGGAGCCGGCCGTCCCGTCCATGTAAACACGGCTCTGACAACAACACAGCCAGCGGGACTCGAGCTTCTCCCTCATTGTAGACAGTTAGGACTCAGAGAGACTTCGTCACCACCTGTTCTTTGCCGTCAGTAGGGGGGCCCTGAGAGCTCACAAACTAAAACCAAAGCAGAGGCACAATATGAGCAAATGTAGATACGACAGTAGGAAATCTCCCTTAAGGCCCCCTACTCAGGGCCTTAAGGGAGATTTCCTACTGTCGTATCTACATTTGCTCATATTGTGCCTCTGCTTTGGTTTTAGTTTGTGAGCTCTCAGGGCCCCCCTACTGATCCGGGGCCCCAAACAGACCTCTGCACGTCCTCAGTGGTCGTTTCTGTGGTGGAATTTCTGTACCTATGTATGAAGATTTAAGTGTACTAACATCATTATGTTTATTCACTGTTCTCTGATGTCAGCTAGAGTTCAGCTGTGACTAGAAACCAAGGACAGCTTAGTGTGTCGAGGGTCTTCTGCATGTTTGGTAGACTTAGTGTCTGTTCCAAATTAACATCACAGATGAGTTAAGGTCAGTGTGACTCTGACGTCAATCATGTATTTTCTATGTATTCAAAGCCTGTTGAAGAGTTTGGGAGAATTGGATACAGCATCAGACGTGTGCTTGATACTCCATCTCTGCTCCGGAGTATTCTTGTAGAGACTTTCATCAACGTAAGCCATCTGAGTCAACTGAGTCTTATTGTGTGAAGTCAAGTTCTTAGTAATTTCCTCAACAGTTTCTTCATCTGTGTGTGTGTGTGTGTGTGTGTGTGTGTGTGTGTGGTGTGTGTGTGTGTGTGTGTGTGTGTGTGTGTGTGTGTGTGTGTTGGTGGCTGGGTGTGATCTTTTGTTTCCTGTTGTTCTGCAGACACTTTGCCATTTCTGAGAAACTCTTGTGTTAAACTCGACGACCTGTGTGTTTCTCAGTGTTAGTGTGTGTGTTTTAAAGGATGTGTTTCCTGTTCTTCCTTTCATTTCTTCTTTTCTTAAATGATTTCTCAGATACAGCAGGTCATGCACGGTGTGAATATTGATTACATGTATCTAAAGCAGATCATTTTCTCTGTTTTCCCTCCACCTGCTCACCTTTCTTGTTTCTTCTCAGCTCTCACAAACACAACAAACAATGATGAAACAGAATGCACATGAGGCTGTCAAGAGATCTGAACAATAATTCAGCACAGGCTGTTTTTTTATTTATTGATTCATCACCAGTAATGGGCGGAGCTTTGACTTACTGCATTACGTGATTGGTTAACTTTAAGATTCAAGTTTATGATTCTGTTATTCACCTTATTAAGTCTGAATTCAGAAACTACTTGAAGATGATGATGGTGCTTCACCTCGTCCACACACACACACACACACACACACACACACACACACACACACACACACGGGTAAAGGTCGAGGGATGAAGATGAGGGTTAAGGTCGAGCTTTCTGTCTTGTGTGTGTGTGTCTCTGGGGGGCGTGGCTTCAATCAACACCAGGTCACTACTCACACCTGCAGCTCATCTGCTCATCTGCCTCAAGCTGAAACCCTGGGTTCAACTCGACTCATTGCCAGATTATTGAGTCTACTGAAGTGGTAGCTATGATGGGCTGCTCTTAACATTTGTTAGAGTTTGTTCCGAGCGTTTTTCAAGTGAATCCAAACAGATTTTCTCTTCTGTTGTCCAGATTCTCACCGGTGTCATCTCCTCCAGTCTGCTCTCCTCTCAGACAACTCAACCAATCACCTGCCTGCCTACAGAACCAGCTAACTCCATAAGTCTCCTCCACGCCGTCACTACCAGCCAGCCAGTCAGCCATCCACCTTTCCCAAACCCTGCAATAAAACCTCAAACCCTTCAACTTTGCTGCTGTGTCTGCTTTTGGGTCAAGATACAAACCGTAACATTTTGCAACTTTTTGATCCAGTAGATGTCGCCTTTGAGCTCCAGCATGAAACCAAAACAAACTGCTGATAGGCCACGCCTCCTCCATACTGAAGCCTCCGCTCTCCTCCAGAGACACACCTCGAGCTGCAATCACCTGTGTCCTGCATTGTTGTGTTAGCATGCTAATGTTAGCGCTCTTTAGTCAGCTCGTAGCTTCACATTGTTGTGTTAGCATGCTAATGTTAGCGCTCTTTAGTCAGCTCGTAGCTTCACATTGTTGTGTTAGAATGCTAATGTTAGCTCTCTTTAGTCAGCTCGTAGCTTCACATTGTTCTGTTAGCATGCTAATGTTAGCGCTCTTTAGTCAGCTCGTAGCTTCACATTGCTGTGTTAGCATGCTAATGTTAGCGCTCTTTAGTCAGCTCGTAGCTTCACATTGTTGTGTTAGCATGCTAATGTTAGCGCTCTTTAGTCAGCTCGTAGCTTCACATTGTTGTGTTAGCATGCTAATGTTAGCGCTCTTTAGTTAGCTCGTAGCTTCACATTGTTCTGTTAGCATGCTAATGTTAGCGCTCTTTAGTTAGCTCGTAGCTTCACATTTCATGTAAACTGACACAGAATGAGCGTGATCTAAAAACTCTTACTAACATCCAAATAATCAGTGAGTATGTTCTTCTTCTTCTCTCTAGTTCTTGACTAAAACAGCTTTTATACACAAGGGGAGGAGCCGGCCGTCCCGTCCATGTAAACACGGCTCTGACAACAACACAGCCAGCGGGACTCGAGCTTCTCCCTCATTGTAGACAGTCAGGACTCAGAGACACATTTACACAGGACACACTTTAGGATTTATTGATGAGGATCTGATCTGTTTTTCTTTTCTTTTCTAGTTTGAGGTCGCTCCTTCAAAGAGTGCTGTGTGTTGAGATATAAATTGCTTCATTAAACTTGACATGACTTTAAATGGAGGTGTGTAGCTCATGAACAGTCAGAAAGCACCTGTGCAGACAAAAGACTCGTCCTGCAGCTCCTGCAGTCCCTGACACTTCTGTCATTACATTTGTATTTTTTTCTAAGGAAGCAGAGGCAGCGCTGTTTGTCAATCATTAATCCACATCAAACTGTGACACATTTTATCTGCCTCCTTATTTTCTCTAACGAGCTGTGCTAGTTCCTGTAGGTTGAATATCTTAACGTGTGCAGCACTCTTTGATATGCATTTGACACGGTGCTTCATAAACACAATAAATGTAATCCAACAGGGACAGAGATCTACAGGACGTCTCTGTTACAGTGGGCTTTAGTTTCATTATTACTTCAACTATTCACCCTGCACACAGAGCTACTCTGTTCTCTGAATCAAGTCTCAGTGTTTCAACACATCTCTGATTGTATCTCTTATCAGGAAGTGGGCGGCAGCGTGGAGCGAATCAGGCAAAGCGTGACAGCAAATTCCTCAGAGATGGTAAGAATTAACTCTTAGTTATCTAATTATTGTTTTATATACGCAAACGCTCATCTTCATCTTCATCCCTCTGACCTTCACCCTCATCTTCATCACTCTTACCTTCACCCTCATCTTCATCCCTCCCTGTTATGATCTTCACAGCAGTGTACATTCCTCCCAGTGCAAACACCAGAGAAGCCCTGAATGTTTTATACCGCTCCATCAGTGAACTGCAATCTACACATCCAGAGGGAGTTTTCATTGTGCCAGGGGACTTTAATCAGGCCAACATGAAAACTGTTTTTCCTCATTTCCATCAATATGTGGATTTTGCAACCAGGGGTGGGAGCACGCTGGACCTGGCCTACAGCAAC